GGTAAAAGAAGAATTGCATCTTGGACTGATCCCAGACTGAGGTAGTGACAACATAGATAGAGGCTGTGTAGATCACCTACAAATATGGATTTTCAGAGATGCTAACTATTATTACATATATGGGCACAGTGACAAGACATATTTCTTTCTTTTCCCATTAAGAATAAGCTGATTTCTTTCAAATAAAAAGATGTCCTGTAGCAAGTGATAGCTAAATCTTTCCAGAACCCAGCTGTTCTTTAGTTGAACAATTTCACTGACATTCACTTTTACACGTTGGCAGGTGTAAAGGCAAAGATGAGCAAGAGAGGCTGCATTCATGCCCTGTTCCATAACTAAAAATACTTATGTTTCCACACAGACATTCTGCATCTAGTTATTAAAGGTTTTTAACTTTTGCACAACTTTTCATAAAATACACAATAGCAATCTTGACATCCTGTCAAGATGTACAGCAGCTTAATTTAATTTTTAATACAGGATGCATATATATGTCTGCTATTTCCCTGGCTAACAACACAGAAATATTGATATGGAACTGCTCGTTTTTTTACCTTGTAGCTAAGAGCACTTAACCTCAGCTAGGTTCTGACCATATCTCAAGGAGAGATATTTTTCAGGGATATTCACAGTGACCCTTTTATTCTTCTGCTCTGTACATGTTTATTACTATTTTTGTCTATGCTACTTACTTTTTTGCTTCTAATAAATCAAGATTTTTTTTTGCCATGCTGTTGAATGCTTGTATTTATTATTTATTTTGTCACATAAACTTATATCAGTTCTCAAAGTGACAGCAACTGGAGCTTGTGATAATATATTCCTAAGGGATTATTTTATATCTGTCTTCTAAATATCTATCTAGGCCAGCTTTACAGAGAATGGAAAATAAGTAACAAAAGGTTAAATAATGTATTTTCTCCATTCAAACTATCTAAATTTCAAAAGGAAAAGTCTTTCTTTAATCATCAGCTTGATATTTCCAAATAAATAGAAATGTTATTTAGTAGCTCTTATGGCAAAATGGGCACTAGGGAAACAGTATATATTAGTAATTACCTAGATAGAAACATACTTGAGTTTTAAAAAATCTTTTAATGCAGACCAATTCCCTAGAGGTTTTCTAAAAGAATATTCTCTTCTGTTCTTATTAGCATCTGAGTTACAAAGGAAACATATCCTCATCAGGGATTTAAACAGTACTTTAAAATGCTTTCTGTTTTTTCTTTCCTCCCTCCCTCCCTCCCTCCCTCCCTCCCTTCCTTCCTTCCTTCCTTCCTTCCTTCCTTCCTATCAACAAAACAATGAGTCTTGCTATGTTTTTGTCCCTATTGTCCCTGTCCCTACCTTATTTCAATATGGTAAAGTGGCTAAAACAATACTTGTGAAACTGGATTGTGTACCCAGGATGTGAAGCTTTTGTCATTTTCATTATATTCATCTCCCATAAGCTCCTAAAGAGTCCTCTTTCAATTAACAAGCCAAGAAACCTATTTGTCCTACCACCAATCAAGTCAGACGCAATTCAGCTCTGTGGGAGGGATTGATTAATAGTGATAAAAAACTAAATGCTTTTTTATTTTTAACTTTGTAAGTGGACTTAGCAGGGAAAAGACACGGAAATGACAAAAATGTAACACAAAGGAATAGAAAAAAACTATGAAAAGTAGGCTAAAAGCTGCAGAAATAAGATGGCAATACACATGGAGTGAGGCACTGGCAATATATTGGAAATTAATTTTAACAAGTGAAGAAGTGAAAAGTAACAAAAATACCACATCTTAGTAAAGTACATCATAGTATTAAAGTATAGAAACAAATGTTTCCCCTGTTTCTGTATCCTGCTATCATTCAATTTGCTTCTGTGAATATTGTTAAACTATTCTTCTTGAAATAAATTACCTCTTAAATATACATAGAGAATAATTACAAATATTTAATTTCAATATACTACTACTGTCAATGTTTTCAAATTTTAATTCTGTGAATGATTCTCCCATACATTCTCCTTTTTCCTACCAATGAGAACTCTCTGAATCAAGTCATGGGGACTTGTTTGGAATGCTTGGACTTTCCAAGTCTTGCATGACTTGCATGACTGAAATATTTTTTTGGAAGGAGCACATATTTTATAATATATATATAGATGATTAAAGAACATGTAATTCAACCCTGAGACCATATTATTTCCCACAGTGGTTCTACTTTGGGAATTATTTCTTTATATTTTAAAAATCCATCTTTTCCATTATGTAGAATATAGTATCTAAATGCAAAGACAACACTTTCTTTATCTGTTTATTTTATTTACACACCGAATTGCGCAAACCACATTGCTCTCCCTCATTATTTTACATCTGAGTCAAATGACTAGGAAAATGGGATGAGCTGCCATCAAATTACAGAAAACCATTTCCTTGTGAACAGGTAAACAGCCTTCTCAGTGTTTAAAAGTGTATGGCGAAATACGAAACAAGAGATGGTCAAGTTGATGCTAGTAACAGTAATTTACTATGAGTACTGTTTTACAGTGAGAGGATCTGCCTTTTATCTGAACAACAAATATGAGATCTTTAAGGAGCTATCTGTGTTGCTGAAAGTCCAACCCACCCTCGTGGCTTTGTGTAGTCCTCTGTATTGCACAACAAGGTGAACCGTTTGGCCCCAAGGAGGTTGGAATTATATGAAAAGTAAAACTGATAGAGGAGCAGAAAAAATAGCAGGAAATGCTTTCCATGAAACTGGCTAGAGAATTAAGTATTGTCACAAGTAGATAACAGAACTTTATGTATCGATATTTTCCTATGCACATATTCCACCTACAGAAAGCAACTCTAAAAGCACAAGTCCTTTTCCTCCTACATATTTGAGATGATTACATAAAGAAAGAAAACAAATTATTTCTATTTTTGTTATAAAGGAAATAATGTGATGAAAGGCTGTGTGCAAAATATAGAATAACTATGAATAATAAATAATAAAGGCAAACTATAGAAAGAAGAATAAATCAGTAAGACAATGTGATTGTCTATGGTTGCTACAGAATTGCCTTTCAGCTTACAATTTTCTATTAATATATTGAATTACACATAATCATATAGAGTACAGAAACAAAATCTTGAAACACTTAAAATTCTTCTGAATTTAACTTCAAAATTTTTGAATTATCAAAGAGAGTGCTATCTGACTGCCAGCTATTTCACCTTTATTTCAAATTCTGCATTTTAGTTCCTATATAATGGCGATTTACATTCTGTAAAAAATAAAATGTTCATCTTAATATTATACTCACTTGGCATTTATTTTAAAAGCTAATGTTACTGTTTGGTTCAAAGTAAATCAAAACAAATACTGCCATGAAAGCTATATTTAATCATTTTTTTTTCTTATCTGAGTTTGTCTACAGAACCTCATGTGAATTGAAGATAACAGTTTCAAGATGGGATTGTTTGAAGAGGTCTTGAAAGTTTTTTTCAATTTATAGTTTCTATTATATAAATTCAATGTATTTCTTAACAACAAGAACAAAAATTAAAACACCATTTATAGGAACATGGAGAAAAATAAGAAGAAAAATGTTATGCTGCCAATTAAGGGAAACAAAGAACAATTCCATCTGTAACATCAAAACAACATGTGCAGGTGGGAAATTAATTTAGAGGAGTACAAAACTACAGGCCCTCCTCCAGTGCAGTCAACTGGACAGGCTGAGGAAGACCCAGTTGTTTGTGTATGATCACCTGATTTTTCAGGGTTTCCCTGAAAAATATTGCCTATGAATAGCATAATGAGGAAGAAGTCCTTAGTGGATTTCATATCTAGAGCCACATAGTACTTTGCAACTCAAATCTAGATTGCCATCTGAACATCTGAACTGTATTTGAAACTCTCTCACTTTTACTCATTATTTCTCCCTTACTTTTACCCCTACTTCTACATCCTTCTTCAGTTCTGTCAGAACTCTTCTACTCTACAATGACTCTTACTTTTGAGAACTTTTTTTTCAAAATTCTTCTTCTTATCTTAAAATCAGAGGTTGTTTTCCTGTCCTATCTTCCTCCAGCAAATACTAGTTAGAGGACACAAGGCATGTAGATACCAGCAAGACCTCAACAGTCATATATGCTTATATATACAGACATATTAAATTTCAGGCAGATGACATTTTATTATGCCTTTTATTACCACACTTTGCATACAGCTTACCGGTACTACCAACATACAGTGTCAGTAGCTAGAATCTGCAGCACTTCATGCTTCTCAGTGAAATGGAAAGTACACACAAACTGATGATTTTTGGCTTCTATCTACTTCAGCAAACCAACCAAAACGTGACATGCCTTTAGTTCTCTAAATGGCCTTCCACTGGTTGCTCACTGATGCAACCTGAGCATTTGAGCATTTTTAAAAGCAAGTCATGTTCCACTGAATTACACAGACAAGGGTGTATAGTGTAGGGACACCACATGATTTAAAAAAAAAAAAAAAGTTTTGTAACTGAATTTTAGGGGAAAAAAAAGAAGAGTACCGTACATATGCTGGCATTCCCTGCACCCCGTCTGTGCACAAAAAAAAAGAATTAAAATGAAGGATGTAAGTATCTGTCAAGTGTTCTCCCGGCCACTGTATATCCTTGACAATTGTCAATACTTGAAAAAACAATGAAGAAAAGGCTTTGTTGTACTCATTTAGATGCTTTCAGTTGGAAATACAGCATTTGCGTGCCTTTTTCTTCATTTTTTTACCATTAATAACCTAACAATATTTGGTGGAATAATTTTATAGTCTCAATGTTTATATATTTTTAATTTCTTTTCAAAATAAAGGACACTCTTGTAAAAAGAATAAGTTCTTGGCTACAAGAATGCACAAAAGAAATGTTGAACATTACATATTTTCTATTCCCAAATAACATCTCTTGCACTCCAATACCATATTTGGATCTCTGTAGAAGACATGAAAATATACAGCCAAAAACACAGAGATCTAGAAGCACTTACATTTGCACTGTGATCACTTCCACTAACACAGATGACATCTTGTTTTTGAATTGTTAGTACCTCTTTTGTAAGCTTCAGTCGGATGTCATAGGCATTTTCAGATACTTCATCATATAATAAAGCAATACCAGTTTTAGTCTGTGAAAACAAGACACAGAAACAAAGATTTTAATTATGTGAACACTTCATAATGATAAAAAATAGCCTCTATCTTATCCAATACACAAAATGCATATAAATAAACATTTTTTTAAAAAAAGTGGAAAAAAGGCCTGCTTTTTAGGCTCCAAATGAGTTAAACATAAGAATAAACATGTACTGTAAAAAGACAGCAAAAAGGTCTTTGAAGCAGGTATATATATGTATATATATGTAAAAAATATTTTCCCAGTATACTGTTCAACAAAGGATATTTTTTCTGTTTATATTTAGCCATTCCATTTATCATGAATTTGTATTAGAAGCAGAATGTATGTATGTATATATGTAAGTATGTATGCAGATGGACTTTTCAGTTTCAACAAAAGGTGGAGAAATGTCATATTATTACTGACTTAGAGTAGTTTCTTCTGCTGTCTCAGGGAAAAAAAAATGTATCCTTCATAAGTGTCACCTTTAAGATACAGAATTCCACTGTAGCGCAAAACTGTTTTCCAACAGTAAACCACACAAATACACACACTGCAAACATACAGGTGTTACAGGTTTCAATTTGCTTAAGTCAAGGGACGTGTACTTAAGAAGTTACATCATCATCAGAATATAAAATAGGTAAAGCCTGGAAGTCAATCAGTTTTGTAACAAACGTTAACATCTAAAAGATGTTAAGCCTGTGACTAATAGAAAAGAAAATCTGTTCTGACTTTGGTTTACTTACATATACAGATTTCCTACTAAACTGGACTCCAGAATGCTATAGAAATTTGCTAAAATAAGTAAGCAAGTACAATTTCAGAACTTTATAGTCATTGCACAGAAGAGAAAGATTAAAGCACCTATTCTGAAAACAGATCAACATATTTGAGAGTAATATTTGCTTATTAATTTATAATATCACTTCGGACCACCACCATGCACTTGCACAGGAAGGTTTAGCTACAGCACGTTCCTTTTTTTTAAGGCTTTTGAATCAAGTCATTCACCTATTTATTTTGTTTTTACTTTGATAATTAGCAGACTGTGTAAAGAACAGAGCGATGGACTTAAAGAAGAAACATGCCCTGTGTACTGAATGAATGTTCCTCAAAAAGTAAAATAAAAAAGGCATGTCACCTTCATAACAGTATTTCCATTACTATAAAGAGTAAGCAGAGAGCTCTTTGGTGATTGTTAGCAAAAACCTTTCATCTTTTAACCATTGTTCAGCTCGAGGCACTTTTATTTAGATGTCATGTAGCTCTATGCAGAAACAAAATACCGAAGCATCCCTTATAGTCTGCAGAAATGGAAGGCAGCATAGACCGCAATTCCATTTGCCCTTACATAGGAGTTGTTCAGTTGAATTACTCATTGGGTTGTCCTCAGTGTCCCATGTAGGCCATTGCTGCCATTTTAGACAGTTTAGGGTATCCAAGACAATCTATACATATATTTGGCCCTATGAGAAACCAAAGTCCAAAGCCTCTTCTGGAGAGAGGTTTTGACAGATCTCCACCATTATAATGAGATGCAGACATGATAGCTATCGTGACAGTAGATATTTACCTGTCAATATTTCAAGTTTGAAATTAATATCACTACAAAGATTTAAAATGTAAAAAATCCCATCTAGACAGCCACTTGGATTCTGTAAAGTCAATGGTGAGAAATAAACACTGGAGCACAATTCACCTGATCTATTCCACACACCCTTCAAGAATGAAAGAAATTGTATCATAGCTCTCTATTTCAACTGGGAAAATAAATGACAACCCAAATGAGTCTTGCTCCGAGTGTCTGCTGGGAATGCCTAAAGGAAAAAAAAAGATTCAGTGGGGGGTATAAACTTTTATTATCCTCATTTGTTTGTAAACTGACACTACTTTATATTCCCCAAGTGTTTTAAATTTTTTAGTATGATTTGATAACTTATCAGCACAATTTTATAAATGACAGAATATGAAAGTTATGTCAACACCATCTGCTTAACTGCTATATTATGTAGAAACAAATATTTTTTAAATAGAATTTCCTTTCAAAATCACTTTACCCATGTTTTGCTCCCAAAGGTTCTGCATCACTATTTCACCCAGCCTGACAATCATTGTTGCTTTTACTGATATGCCAGATTATGCTTTACAGAAACATCTTGAGAGAACAGAACACTTTATATAATCTAAAATCAGAACATTCTACCACCTAGTAATTGTTACACATGTTTAGAAGTGATATGATGAAAAAATCTGAACTTTTAATTGTAACAGCTCGCTAAATAACAAATGAAATGTGCAGAATAAGTTAGTATTTCTATCAAGCTATTTAAGCTGAAAATCCCACTGAAGTTCATCTATTCCTATTTAAATGAATACCTACTTCACACTTTATCTAACTCTCAATGTGATCTAAGATGACATAAAGCAATACCCTATTTGCTTTCAGAATCAAATCAATAAGACAAATCTAGAGTTCTCTCAGCCTTTCAATTATGCCTTTTTAAATAAACGGCTGTGAATTAGAATTAAGAACATTCACCTGTTCCTTGTAACACTACAGAGGTTGTTACAAGTAACTCTTACATTCATTAGGCAAATTTCAGTATGGACAAAGTGCTTCCTCATGCAAGAATACTGGTAATTTAGTTTTTGCATGTGCATGTATATACAACATTTAAAGCATGCGGGGTTTGTCTAGATTTCCCTTTTAAAAAGTTTCTTTATAAACTTTCAATAACTGCTATCAGAAAGTGAGATTTTAAGAATATAAATTTCTCCTAAAAATGATATAATAATGCTAGAGACCATACATTATATTTGCATGTGTTTTGAATGAACGGATGTGCAAAGTTGCATCTCAATAAGATATAGGTGCTTATAGAGAGAAGTAAGGGAATATGTGCTTAAATTACTTTCAGCAGATGAGGAATTAAATGTTGGTCTTTATACTAATCCACACTATACTGAACTTTTCTACATACTGGTTTCGGGAAAAGAAAAGGTGTGTGTGTGTGTGTGTATGTGTGAAGAAAGAGACGAGAGAGGGAAGATCAGTAACAAATGCAACACAACACATTACACTTAAGAAAGCTTAGCCACTGTTTTTTCTTTGAAAGAGAAAACATTGTCCTTTGCTTTCTTGAGGAAGTTGAAAAATTGTCAATACCACACTTTGCCATTACCAATAAAAGTGCAAATAGCACTTTTTAGAGGGAGATAGAATTGCAGATGCATCCTTTTGTCAGACTTTTATTGTTATTCAAAATAACAACAAATACAAAACCAAACAATTTTGTTGTATTATTATTCTCACTAGGGGCAGGTCCTCTGTCAGTGTACTTGTTTTACAGCTCTCCCTGTTCAGCACAATGCTTAGGGACCTTACCCAAACTATCCTAATTCTTTCAATGCGCTGTATCTCCAGGCCAAACTTCAAAGCTGTGAATTCTGTTTCTGAGTAGACATCTATAGGCCAAACTTTGGTCTTAAGCATCTGTTTTCATTATTTTAATGTTGAAAAAGCCTGCAAAAAATCAGGCAGACAAAGTGTAAAAGTGGTGCTGACGTGTATTAGGTCTTCTTTTTTAAAACGTATTTACTTCAATTTACTCTCTTGTAACTGTTTTGACATGTATCTTTGCAAAACTTCTACTATTGTGATAAAAAGACCAAAGAAGATGTTTTCCAAGAACAGGACAGAATTCAAATTTGAAATGGCTTTGACTAATACAAAAACAAACAAGCAAACAAACAAACAAAAGGGATGAAGCACCACAGGAAAAAAAAAATGGAAGATACTACACTCTAGGAAGAATAAACAATTGCATGCTACTGGGAAAACTTGTACCATTTCTTCAAGAAAAGAAACAGGTAATACAGAGAATCCACGCAAAATATATATATATATATATTATTGCAATAAAGGCAAACAGACACAGATCATTTCGGTGGCTCTGCTTTTAATTCTCTCCAACTGATTTGCTTCCCTCCCCACAACAAAAGACAGTGTCCAGAAGTTAACATAGGACTCCAGCTTTGTAGTACACAATGTTCTTTAACAGAGCTGAATATGAGGGCAGATTTTTTTTCATGTCCGTGGTGTAATCCATTACCATGTTGCATTTAATATGTTCCAGTAAATTGTTTCTTTTTATACAATATTATGACAGTGCTGATTCATGGTTGCACTAGAGAAAAGAGATAATGAACTGAAAAGAGTCAAGAACAAAACAAACATTAAAAATGATCAGAGACCTGGAAAATGGACCCTATTAGTAATTCTGTATGAATTTGGGTTTTTTAACTTCAAAAACAGAATGACAGTTTTCAATTACTTCAAAGTATATTACAAAGACAAATGGAAAAATCCAATACAGATACATAAAAAAACTTCTTTCTTTAGCATATTCCTACTGCAAGTAACCTGAAGTCTTCAGGCTTCTGGGACAGATTATAGATTTTCATCTTGAGGGATTCTGACAGAAAATTGGACAAACATCTGTCTAAATAGTTGTGGGAAAACTGCTTGTGAAAGGGGAAATTAGATAAAAATTAGAGCCTAACAGAAGTTATGGTATTACAGAAGTTTGCTTGGGGTAAGAGACAGCTACCACTTCCCGGATGGTTGGTATGTGTGGAATCTACTTCTCCACGGTTCCCTCCTTCAACACGCTAATAAGAATAAACAAAGAGTGAAGCAGAATGGAGCAAACTTTGTTGGCTTCCCTGTGGAGGTGATAATCTGATGGTGCTGCGCAGAGGACAAGTGAATGGAAGGTGGAGAGGAATTAAGACACCATGGCCAAACTCTGCTGTACTCCCTGCAGAGGTGGTAACCTGGTCTAACCATGCAGCTGACAAGCCACACAATATGATAAGATGTCTGGTGCTGGGCCAGTGATGGTGGCAGATCAGTCTCTTTCAATGGACTTTGCTCAAACTTTTCCTCATTCTAGTCTCATTATAATACCAATACACACCTCCAAAAATACATACCTCCAATACACA